AACCACATGCAGGTATCGAACTGACTTCAGCTTGGCTGTTAGTTCTCGGTGTCGGTTCAACAGTGCGACCAATGAGTCCTTCCGACATGCGATCACCCCTAGTGATTGCTGGATTACCAACCTTGAATCACCAACTATAACTAAATGCTCAGCTCCGTGTTCTAGCGCAGCAACCACTCCGTTGTTCATCCCATTGTACTCAGCCATATTCAGCGTAGTGACCTCAAGGTAGGCACTCGCAGCGATCACTATATGCCATTCGGGCAATTTCCACACTATCCAGGAACAGCTCCCGTATCCACCATTCTTTTCGGTCTTCGCCGAGACGTCAAAGGAAACTACAAGTCCGGCGTAATCGTGTGGTAATTGCGCATATAGTAGACTGGGGTCCATCCGAGTGTGCGGAGAGCCTTTAGTCGGTGGAGCCACCAGTGCCAGCGACTCGTCTAGGTCCACAAAGTTAGTAGTCGTCGACTGGAGTAATTGCGAGAATAAACAGTCCTTCTCTCATATTTGTTTGAACTTCCAGCTGCCAAGGAGACAGCAGAACTGCAAACTGCACAGCGCGACCAAACAAGGTCTCTGGCTTGTGCACCCACGCCAGCGTAGAGTATCTTGTATACACATGCAACGTCTTTCCAGCCAATTGAGTGTAGCACACTCTCAGTAATAGGAGTAACGCGAGTACTTCCTTTTCTGCCGAATGATAGTTCATTTCAGCATCTTTGAGAACTCGTGGCCACAGAACCGAACTGGGTGCAATTTGTCGTCATGCATCTGCATGAGGGTTGCACTCAACGCCCACTCGTTTGCATATAACATGACATGCACTTCCTTCTTGTCGTTGAAATGCCTCAGTATCGGTGCCTTAGCTACTTTGCGCTGAAGCACGCGAAAACGTTCTTTCGCCGCCGACAGATTACTTTCGGTTTCGAAATCTTCGTCCTTGAGCTGGTACAGCGCCGCACAGAAGACGGCAAAGTCCTGGATAAAGCGACTGTCATGGTTCAGTGCTCCAATGAATTGCTGCATGCCTCGTTTCGTCTTGGGAAACGATAGCTCGGTAA